ACATACACTGGTGATAACATCTGATGACCCAGTTTCAAAGACTGGGTTAGATATTCCAGAGTGAGGGTCCAACGTGATCAGAGGGGATGAGGCTGGACTCTGGGAAAGGTCAAGTGAATGGCCATTGGAAATGGTCACTGCCACTACCAAGCCCCTCAGGCCCCTCCTGAGAACAGAGGAAGGGAGGGACAGCTCCTAGCAGAGAGTGTTGAGACGTGGAGCGAACACAAGCTTTCCTAAGGTCACAAGATGAGTCAGTCGCAGACAAGTAATCTGTCTTTGCCTCAATAAATTTTCCTACTTAGTAAGTTTGGACAGCTCAAAGACAGCTTTAGTGCAAATAAACAAGCTTGTCCGCAGTTGAACACGCTTGCAAAAGGTAGCACACTCTGGCCCAGGGTCATTTCCTCCTCCCTGGTTCTATAAAAAGCAAGCCCAGAAATGTTAAGCCGAAGCAGAAGCAATTAACAGACCAAATACTGGAAGCCTATTTCAAACAGAAGGCAAAGATTTCATGTGAACGCTGCCCCCCGCTTGCCCCTCAAATTCAGCTCCTTCCCTTCTGCCACTCTTGAAAAGTCCCCCAGACAACGCTAAATGATTCAGAAGACGCTAAACCTTTCCTTCCCTCCCGTGAGTGAAACTTTGCTCCCAATCGAGCTGACAGCTGCTGCCTCTCAGTGTCTCGGGACAAGTTCTCTCCCAGAAGGCACCTCCGTCCGTCCGTCCTACAGTGGAGCTCTGGGTAGACCTGCTGCAGGAATTCCCGGCCATCTTTGGACAGGGCAGAACCCTACATGTGGAGCCAGCCTGGGATCAAGGGGAAAAAAAGACCATAGACAAGAAGTACCTAGCATAGTACCTGCTCAGTTGGGTTTTATTCATTACTACATAGGCAATTCACCAAAAACTTGTTTAATGAAAGTGTTTTTTTTTAACTTAATTAAGAGCCTACCATCAAGGAGGTAGGCACTGGGGTAGGCCCTGTGGAGAACAGCAAGATAAATTTAATTTGATTTCTACCTTTAGGACAGTACAGAATTTAGGGAGGAGACACGCAGGCCAGCATAGTACAGAGTGAACTAAAATGCCTGTCTAAGGAAAGTGTGGACAAAGGTCTCAAGGATCACCGAGGAGAGGAGATTCCTTCTCTCTGGTGAGGTGGAGCATGTAGCACCAGGTGGGGTTTGAAGAGTGGGTGGGATGTCTGCCATGGAATGTGCCAGCAATGCCATTCCCCAGGTAGGAAGGGACCTGAGACAGAATAGGGCAAGCCACACTCAGGGATAGTTCGCTGGAAAGAGAAGTGAGAGGTGGAATGAGAAACAATGCTGGAAAGAGAAACTGAGGCACATTCTTGATGGCTTTGAAGTCAAAGAAGACCAGTCAGAGGGCTACGGTAGGAGTCCACATCTGACCATCACTGCTTGGATCAGAGTGGTGGCCATGAGCAGCCAAGGGAGGGAGGCAACCGCAAGCCAATGCAAGTGCGTGCAGCATGGTGGGTCGCTGGGAAGTAGAGGAGGCCTGAAATAGCTGCCTCCCCTGGGGTGAGGGCTGGCACAAGGCCACAGAGGGTTAGTGACATTGCTCTACATGTCCCTTCTCTCTAGTAGGTGCGTGTTTGGAGCTTTCTGTCATAAATCTTGCCCTGAGTACTATCTGGAGACAGGGCTTCACTGGAGGACAGCTGCACGTCTAATTTTAGGTTCATGCTGGAGAAGTAGGGCAGGTCTAATCTCCACAGGAGGGACGAGTCACAGTGACACAACACGGGGCATCTGCTTCTGCAAAGCCATCCCGGAATAACTCTCCATAGCTTGCTAGCATTGGGAGGATGATACCCAGTAGGGCTACCTTGTCCCCTGACATGGACTTCACCCACTTCCTGCAAGACCCCTGCAGCCCACAGGTTCAGGAATCCGAGTGGAGTGGAGCAGAATTCACTGTTAGTTACTATTTCAGGATGGGGTTCAGGAGAGAAGATGGGACTGGGCAGGAAGTGCTCGCCTTCACGCACTTCCCTGGCCTCTGCATCCTGACCCGTGGCAGCACACAAGGTTCTCGCACGTTATTTTTTAACACCCACGACAAACCTGGGAGGTAAGACGTGATAGTCATGCTTTAAGAAATTTCAAAGTTGAGTCAAGAAAAGTCAAATGACTCGCCAGGAAATCATCTAGAAAGAGGGTAACAGTGCCGGTCGTCTGGTTTCAGCACCCTCGTTTGTTCTTATCCTGCTGTTGAGGAGTGAGGGTGAGGTAGAAAACAAGGTAGGTTTGGGAAAGAACTCTAAAGCTTCGGAAGCGGAGGGAAAAGATATTTAGCCTTCGAGAGGAAGTAGCCATTCCATGGAGGAGAAAGACTCCCCTATCGTTAAGCAAATTGTTCCATGGATATGAGCCATTTAGATGGTAAAAGAAATTTAAGCAAACTTTAACTGCCTGTGATTGTCTTACATATGATGGTTTCAGACATAAAATGCTGGTAATAGACTGTGTAAGGTACTCCAGTGGTGGCTTAAGAGCTGAGGCTCGTGTATCAGACACAGTTTAAATCCCAGCTCTTTCACTTAAAACCCAGCGTGTCACTTAACTTCTCTCAGTTTCAATTTCTTTTCCTGTAAAATCGGGGGCAGTAATAGCACCTGCCTCACAGAGGAGAGGAGAGGCTCAAAGGAGATGATGCATCTTAAGAGCTGAGCACAGTGCAGGGCACCTAATAAACACCCAGGCAGTGACAGCCGTATTGCAACGGTTGGAGAAAAAGCCTCCCTTCCACAGAGGTTTGGTTTCAATTTGGCATTCGGCTGAAGAAGGGGAACCATCTTGTCCAAAATGTGCAGGACAAACCAGACATGCAGAAATATGCCTGAGGTCCCCGAAAGGCTCTTTTTGTTGTTGGAAGCACCCCACTGTCATTAATCCCTGGCACTACTTTCCCATTTCCCTCTGACACCCTGATCCCATCTGCACCTGACTTCAACTCCTTTTGCAGGAGGAAAAGAAAGCAATAAAGATAAGCAAGCAGTGTGAGTCTCTGAGAAGGGGCCTTCTCTGTTTTGCTGCTTGGCCTGAATGAGGAAGACCATAAAAACTATCAGGACCCCAGAAAGGCGGGGGCTAGTGCCTTGATACCCACTGTTGGCTGGAAAGGGCTTCGTCGGGAAGCCGCCAAACAGCATGGCCCTCAACTGGCAAGGAAGAGATGACTAACGAAGACTCGTATGTGTGTGGGCCCACCAGACATCACCCAGGTTTTCACAGAATGTAGGGGAAGCGACCAGATATTCCTGAGCTTCTTCTGAACAGCTGAGTTCGAACAGCACCGGACTAGAAGAGGCCTTGTGAATAGGGCAGAAAGATAAAGTTCATGGATTGGTGACCAAAGGACACATCGAGACTGCAGATGTCAGCAGCAAAGGCCAGCACACATGACCAAAAGGTGACATGTCCAAGTCATACACATCCCAACGGACACGAGCTGAGTGAGGACAAAATGTGCTTGTCTGTTGACACCTTGGCACTACCATAGCTTCTCAGAACTTAGATGCCCCGGGAACAGAGGGACAGGAGTGAAAACCTGGAACGAACCAATGAATCATGAATTCAACTTAGATTCCTGATAAAACACTGACTTATTTTTTTGCTACCTGGCATAAATGGAAGTTTAAGACAGAAATAAAGTATAATTACAAAAATAAAGAAATTTAATTTTTTTTTGTCCCTGAGTTTGTGACTCTGAAGTCTTATACCTACTAGATGAAGGTCCCTTGGTGAGATTTAACTGAATTCCACTTGGCAATAAATTCACACAGCAGAGGAGAGGCTTCCAAAATGAGATATATAGAACACTGACCCACACTAAAAAAGATAGTCTCTACAAAAAAAAAAAAAGGCCCCTAGCCAAATCAATTTTGGAACAGAATATGCCACATAATCCTGATATCTGGAAATCCCATAACCCTGAATATCTTAGATATTCTCAATATTTGTTGGTTTTACAAAAGCTCTGAAAAGTCTTATAGTAAAGAAACCTATTTAAATTTGTTCAACCCCGTATTTCGCAATTTATTTGATAAGAGATTTTTTTTTTCACTGAAATATAATATATTTCACTCTGGCAAATGCTGGTGTAGAGAACCGCAGGTGAGAATGGATGATAATGGCATAACAGTGGTGACCCAAGAGAAAAATAATCAGGTGGAACATGAGCCTAAGATTGATGCTAGGATGCAGAAAATATCATGGCTGGGCATGGAAATGCTACTTGCCAAATGACCCCATATATCTTGGAAATTGTCTGAATTTCTTCTAATATTCTTTCAAGGTCCTAGCTGAGTCACTCCCATAAATGATGGATCTTAATGGTTCTGAATGTCTCTAAAGCCTTCATGTCTAACCATCTCCCTTTTTAACTTGGTGATTCACGCCACTTCAGCAAGCACAGGCAGAGAGAATAGGCTGAGTTTCATTTTCCAATCATAAAAATATATCTCAAGTCCAGCACACAACCATGATGGACTATTATAAGGCCCAGATCTCATATCAGAAATTTAACTGGCTGTCTCTTTAGAGACCCGGTCATTTCTGGACTGTCTTTTGAGAAATATACTCATTTATGGTAGATTTGCTGTGAGTAAAGTGTCTACACCTGAAGGCTTCAAGCAAACAAACATGGGGTTTTGAGTATGAAAACTGGATTCAAATCTCAACTGTACCATTTCCTAGCACCATGACCTTGGATAAGACTCTCTCCGCATTTTAGCTTCCTCCTCTGCAAATGAGGATACTAATAAACCCATGCAGGTTTGTTGTGAAGATTACGGGAAATGACTCATGGGTGGGGAGAGATGTAAGCTGAGAAGGGATACAGTCATCTCTCCAAGGGGGAAGTCATCACTAAACTGAACTGGAAACATCATGAAAATATGTGTGGGGCCGTGTCCATCTCTCCGTCTGTTACAAAGAAGGCGGAAGTACTACGAAGGTACTACATACCTGATTGTTCGGGTCCGCTTTCGGGTATAAGGAGTAACGATGTCAAATATCAGCTCCATTGCTCCATTAATACCCAGCATGGCTCCCGTGGTGACTGAGGAAAACAAGAGCACAGTAGGTAAGGTCACGGGTCGGTGGGTTAAGGTTCAGTACAGCTTGGATTGGCTTCTTTAAAACTATAAGGGGCAACCTAACAAACAAGATAGTGCCCTTTCTTTTCCAACCTGGTTGCAAGTTCCCTTACAACTCCCACACTTGGATCTCCCATAACCCAGGCAATGACTTGACTATGCCTCCTTTTCAATGTCAAAGGAAGAATCTATTCTTCCTGCTCAGGGGTAATGAGTCTGGAAAATTTTTGCCTTTTTGCCCAATTGGATGGTTATAGAAACATAGTCATAGATCTGAATGATAGAAAGAAATCCAAAGGGGGTATCTGATCAGATCAATAAAGGCTCTGGATGTCATTCTCATTTCCAAAGAGGCCCCAGCCTCATACGAAATAGAATCAGCCCCACTGCAATATTCCCCAATATCCCCTCTCCACTCAGATCACCCTGGGAAGAGCTCTGATCACATCAAAAGCAAGAGGAATGCACAGGATACGACAGGGAGCCAGGCTAGCAGGGCCAAAGGTTTCAGTGGGAGAAGGAAAGACGTTTGTGTCTTCCAAGATGTGAGTCTCTTCTCTCTTTCCTCTGCTGCACCGGTGTTTTTAAGACAAAGACCTAGGAACGCTTTGTGCTTTGGGCCAACCTTGTCCTGAGAAAAGTAGGCGGGAACAAGGGGTCTCAGAGAAGCAAGGAGAGAGAAACAAGGGCGGAGCAACAGGGGTGGCTTATCCAGGCTGGCTCCAAGCCTCGGGAAAGGAGGCTAGATGGAAACCTGGAGGCTTTGATATCACTCATCCCGGTACGGTCCGTCAGGTAGAGACTGGAGCTGATGTCTTAGCTATGACAAAGAGCGTACACTCCTGGAACATCCTCTGTGCATATGTTCCTCCTGAGGCGAGGACAGGCAGTAATTGCCTGGATCAAAATTCAGGGATTTGGCAACCTCGTCCTGCCCATCAATCTTCCACTCTTACTGCTACTAACTCAGTCCTTACTTCTAAAGTGGGAAAACAGACCAGAGCAAACTCTTGGCAAATAATCCAACAAAATTCTGGCCTTGAGTTAGGGAGGGGATAGTTTTAAGAGTACCAATTCTGACATGGAAGACTTTAAGCTTGGAAGTGGGAGACGACAACAATAAGAAATCCTCGCTCATTTCGCCCTTGCTGGATGCCTATCCAAGGTTAGGTCTCTGGCAGCTCCATGTACACCCTCATTGGCCATCTGAGAGCTTCCAAAGGGTGCATTCGCTATCAAAGACCCAGCATGGTCCCAGCCAGCTCCTGAAGATAGAAGCGGTTTAGAAAGCTTCCTGGGACATTCAACAGTGGCTAGCAATTCACTGAAGTGACAGTAACCCACCTGCTTTTTGGACTCGACTTGCCTCTCGTCAGGAGAGTCAACGTATAGAGAGTGACAGCGTAATTATTAAAAATGTCTTATGAATCAGTTAATTGGTATAAATAAATGTAGGCTTATAATATGAGACCAATGACCACTTCCTCCCACCCTCAAGCAAATCCCAGTGTTTCTCAGAGCTGCAGCTGAAGGAATTTTTCTAAATCTCCACTGCCACCCTATATCATAAGGGAGGCAAGTTATTCAGCCTAATTATTCTTTAGGAAACCATGAGATACTTCAAGCCTTGTGCTGCTGGCAAGCCCCAAACGGTGGTGGCACACCTTCTGTCTGCTCACTAATGAGAGGTGTCCTTTGTACAAAGCCACAGCTTCCCTTTTCCTTTATGAGAGACAGGTTTGCACAGAACCACTCAGCCTCTCCCAAACACTCTCTGATTTTTTGGTCAATATGTCTGATATGGGTGAGTGGAGACTCTGTCGGTGAACAAGAAGTCAAGAACCTCTCCCATCATTAATTCTCCAGAAAGACTTTCTGGTTAAGGGTCCTCCATGCTTATGAATAGAATTAACCAATGAAAATCAGATTAGTTTAGTAGTTCTGAGGATAATTGGCAAAAAAAGTTACCTATTTACTTCTCATATGTGTAGTCATCCTATTCTTTCAAAAGACCAAGGGAAAAGAGCGGGGAGGGGAAGGGAAACTGACCATTAGCGAGCAGCTTCCATGTGGCAATCACACCCATGAACTTTGTCCTATTATCCCGTATGCCAAGTCTACGAGTGCTGCATGGGCTGCTTTGTGTCCCCTCCGAAATTCATACCTTGAAGCCCTAGTCCCAAGTACCCCGGAATATGACTGTATTTGGAGACAGGGTTTTAAAAGAGGTAATTAAGATAAAATGAGGCCATTAACGTGGGCCTTAGTCTAATCTCACTTGTGTCCTTACAAGAAGAGGAACTCTAACACACAAAGAGACTCCAGGGATGCATGAACACAGAGGAAAGACCATGTGAGGACACAGGGAGAGGACAGCCATCTGGGAGCCAAGGACAGAGGCCCCGGGAGAAACCAAACTTGCTGACACTTTGATCTCAGACTTTCAGCCTTCAAAACTGTGAGAAAACGAATGTCTGTTGTTTAAGCCACCCAGATTGTGGCCTTTTGTTATGGCAGCCCTGGCAGACTAATAGTAATAGTTATTACTACTATAATTTTATAAAGGATGAAACTGAGGTTAAACAGGTTAAGTGCTCATGTTACATGACTCATAAGAAATAGAATCAGAGTCACATTCAGGTCCTTCTGGCTCTAAGCCCACATTCTTTCCCCTACGGAGTATATTACATCTAAATAATTGTCACTTCCATCCCACGGGAAGGGGGCTCACGCAGGAGAAATGGAAGTCTGTGCTCATTACATGTGAGATGGGAGGTATAGAATCTAATCTATTAATAAGAAGTGTCTCCATATGGAGCAGAATTAACATGAGTGTTGGAGTTAGAAATTCAGCCCTCATGACTTTTTATCTGCATGAATTCAAGCAATTACTTCACTCTTCTAAGCTTATTTTTCTAAGCTGTAAAACTGTGAGTCTAAATACGGAATTGTTATGATAATTAGAAATAATCCAAATTAGGAGATAGCAAATACGTATCAACCCACATGCTGTGATGTACCTGGAGGACGCTGTTGAGAAGGATGATGACATTAAAGAAAAATGGTAAAGGACGTTGTAATCAATGAGTAACTTCAGGAATATAGCAGAGAGGTTGGTGATGGGAGGGTCATTCTTGACAAATGTAATTTACACATGACACTGTGCCTTGAATATGATAAGGACTGAATAGAGTCTGCCCTTCTGCTGTCATGGGTTGTTTGCACAAACAGAAAACACGGTGTAGCACAAATAGAAAAGTTTAGAGCGCTACACCATGTGACCCCCAAGGAAAAGCAATATCAAAGTCTGTCTCCGGGAAAGGCTCAAGACTTCCACCTGGCTAAGGGGGAGAAGAATAAATAACTTCTCACCTCCACAGCCTCTGCATGGTCAGGCTCCTTCATATATCTTGTCGGGACCACATATGTACCCCACCCACGCCCTCCCTCCAACCAGACACCCGCATGGTTTCCAGGTGCCCCAGCCCGGGTCTCAAAGCCAACCCAGGGAGCCACCATAGGGCCACTTACCGCTGGAGGCAAACACACGCAGGGCCCAGAGACAGTGGAGGAGGTTCTGGCTATGGCACAGGTTTTTCCTGGCCAGAATCAATGTCACGTCAAGTGCCTCCAATTCCAGCGCCTTCTGGCCAAACTTCTTATCTGAGGACACAAATCAATCTATCTTAGTTGTGTTGCACGTTGATTCTGAGGGTCGTACAAGGCGTGGAATAGATGAAGGGTAAGATGGTGGAGGGAGGAGGATAATCATAGCTAAAGACACTTTTCAGACATATTTAGTAAAAAAAAAAAAAAAAAAAATTGCCGCTAAATATGTCCCCACTGGAACCAAATGAATCAGAAGAGCTAATTCGGGCTACACATATTTACATGAAGGCTGGTGGGTTGTATGACTCTCGAGCCCCTATATTTAGGTTGTCCTCATACATACACTACAGCTTAGCTGGAAATAAAGTTCTTCCTTTAAGAAAAGTCTAGAGTTAGGAATACTTACGTAACATGGTATACAGTGCCATGCAGTGTGTGAACTTTGATCGAATTCTACTTAGAAAATGTCTGCAAAAAACGACTGGGAACACTTGGAGAAATTGGAATGAATATAAATTATACATGTATTTTTTATTTTATTAGATTTGTAATTGTGGTTATGTAGGAAAACTTCACTTTGCAAAGAAGTGCACTTGAAAGGATTTAGGAGTAAAATGCCCCCTGTAATTTTTTTAATATTTTAAATAAAAATAAATAGGAAATATGGCAAAATGTTAATGATGGTTAGATCTAAGTTTTAGGAATATAAGAGAACTTTCATAATAAAAAGTCAAAACATACTTTAAGAAAATAAAATGTTCTCCTCTAATATCTCTAAATCCTTGCTCCAAATAACCTGATACCTACTGTTATAGATAAGCCATGATTATCTTAATAATTCAAAAATAAACATAGAAAAACAGGGACAAAGCACCTCTTATTCTGTGTTCCTTGTTCCCACTATGATAGCAGGTGATTGTGCTACCAGTTACATTTGTTTGTGTCCTTTCCACAGTGTGATACCCAAGTCATCGTGTTTGTTTGGCAGGAATACATTTCGATCAGATTTATCACAGGTAGAAATGAGTAAAAGAGAGATAATATCCTAAACTTGGTTTGCCAATATTTGCCTCAGAACCAAAGGACACCAGCAAAGAGATCGTGACTAACCCTACATGACCCATTCCCTTCATGAGGAAAGAGATATTGATTTTGTCTGGGCCATGCTAATGCAGACGCTGGTTGATGCCTGGTCTTCAGTCATTATCTGTGGAATGTCAAATGGACTCAAAGTAGAGATTGAGATAATGAAAGAGAAGAGTGCTCCAGAGCCCCTGGGCCCCTGGCTACAGCTGCTAGCATGGGACATCAAAGGGCCACTTTCAGAGGACCCGAGCTTCTCATTCGTGACCTGTATAAGACTCAGCACACAATTGGAGCTTAACTGTTATGACTGGTTTGCAAGGTCTGCATGAGTCCTGCATGCTCAGGTTGTTAAACTGTGCTCCAAGAAGTTCTAGGTGTTGCAGGATCTTCCATGGGGAGAGAGAAATGACTCTGTAGCCTGAGTGACAAGAACTCTAAGCCTCTCCCCCATCTTCCTTTCAACTAGGGATGCTCCACTTCTGTGTGACCTATTATAGCAGATTGAACCATAGTCCCCCAAAATTAATGTCCACCCAGACCCTCAGAATGCTATCTTATTTGGAAATATGGTCTCTGCAGATTAATTACTTAAGATTCAGTCATACAGATCAGAGCGGGCCCTAAATCCTATGACTGATGTCCTTGTACAAAGAGGAGAGGACACAGAGGAGAACACCATGTGAAGACGGAGGCAGAGACTGGAGCGATGCAGCCACAAGCCAAGAAACACCAAGGATTGCTGGCAGCCACCAGAAGCTAGAGGGAGGCATGGACCTGATTCTCCCTCAGAGTCTCCACAAGGACCCAACCCTGCCAGCTCCTTGATTTTGGACTTCTGACCTCCGAAATGGTGAGAGAATAAATTTCTGTTGTGTTAAGTCCTCCGCTTTGTGGCAATTTGTTATGACAGCTCTAGGAAACTAAATACACTTATATAATGGACTTTCATGTCAGATGCAATTGTAGACATCTTCCATTTATTTTAAAAATGATTAAAAACTGCATTGGAGTATCATCTCCCCTTTTCCCCCCACTGTGGCCCACACCCCATGTAGCCCATGCCTGCTCTGGGCCCTGCTCTGGGCTCTTCCCTAAGCACTATGCCTTGGATTAGGTGACATCTAGGTCAACCAAATTACTCTCCTATGGGGCTGGTCCTGCCATCACCACCAAGGTGTCTAGAACTTCTCTGCCACTTCCTCTGCACACCCACCGAGCTTCCCCAGTTGTTTGCATGCTATCAACCCCAGAAGTGCCTTTTCAGCCATCTTGGGTCTTGGGGTGTGGGTACCTCTTAGGCCGACTTTGGCCAGCAGCCGGAAGAGAGGCAGGAGGACGTCATAGTCTGGCGGCGCTGTCCTTGCTGTGTCCACCAGGGTCTGCAGAAGGGCCTCACTGCCACCCTTGCTGATCATGTAGTGGATCCTCCGGTCTGTGCCTGAGGGGGAGCCCAGAGGAAAGATGAGCCGCAAGTAATAACCCCCATTTTCCTTGCAGCGAAAGATAGACCTCACAGCTAGAGACAGAGCAAGGATTCTTTCATTTCACCCCAGAAACCAAAATTGTGTAGTTCTTGAAGTGACCTGGGTCAAAGTTGTGCTATTACGTAAGGGAAGAGGGGGTGTGAAATGGGAAAATAGTGAAACACTGAGGAACCTGGGTGTATTCACCTGCAGCAGCTGTAATAAATAGAGCCTAGAATCTACTTAACTGAGAATCTGTTGAATTTTCAGTGCATGTGTGTGTACACGGATGTACATGGATGTAAAAATGCATAAGGCTTATGTATGCTTAATAGAAGAAGGAGTATCGATATCCCATTGTTATAAGTTTACATCATCTGTAACAGTGTTTGGGATGATAGCCTCATCTGGAATAACTTTATTAATGGTATAATGATTTTCTGTTCCTGGCCTTCAGAAACTGATGGGAGAAAAATATGGTAACTACTGAAGTATACCCTTGAGAAACAAACATCCAATCATCCTATCTGGGGAATTTTGAAGAGGGTCTGGGCTATGATGAACTATTGATCTTTCTACCTAAGAACAATTTTGAACTGGGACCTTCTCCACCTTGCCCAAGGATAAAAGCAGTGATTACATTTCAACCTGGCCCTGGGTGATTCTCTATGCTCTATGCATGGTTGACCTAACCAAAGTGGCCACCAGGTTGGACATTATCAAAGAAGACTCTCTGATTTTTCATCCTCATAAAAAGCAGCACCCTCTACAAAAGGAGCAGCTATCGCCACCTGTGTCAGAGGGAGAACTCCCAGATTGAATTCTAAGAATTTCAGACACCTCTAGACAAATTGAAGACAGCACTACCGCAGAAGACAAGTGGCTTCACAAGGGTGAACTCACCCAGAAGACTACGGGGAAGTCGCCCTGCCATTCGAGAGCACCACAGACTACGGAAAGATCCCTTCCTCTTGAAACTGTACCCTTGAGGCTCTATGGCTTTGGAGTGTCAGTTTTTGGTATTACTATTTCTTTCTAATATAATGTGGCTAGCATACATAGAAATGCAAATTGAGTGAATGTTGGGATGTCCCACAACCTCAGCAAGAACTTGATGCTCCAGGTAACTCAGCTGATTCCAATGTAACCAATTCTGTCATCATATCTTCACAACCTGGATGCTCACTGTGCCTCCAGGTCCAGCTCCTGCCTCATCCTCCTGTCTCCACCTGACATATGCAAGGCAGCTGCCAACACCCGACTCTCTTAAAGGAGCCACGATGGAAGGGAGGAGACAGAGGGGGTAGAATGGCTGAGGGGTAGCTGTCACTCAGGAGAGCTCAGAGGTGGGTGGGCACAGGCCCCTGGAAGTCCTTGGCCTCATAGATGAGAAACCACAGAAGAATCACTCAGAGTCTAATTTCCTCCTAAGTTTGGGTCACTATAGGGTGAGCAACAAGACTGAAAAACTCAACAATCATCCCAGTTTATTCTGGGTCTTATTAAGCTTAAAGAAAAAAGACGGGCTAATGATTCTGTCTGTCATAGGAAGCTGGAGCTAGAGCAAAGCCCCAGCCACAGAGGTTCCCGGGAGAGACTACAGCCAGCAGGCTCCCACGGCCACCAAGTGTGAGGGTGAGGGTGCAGCCTACTCACCAACAGAAAGCAGGTCTCCGAGGACCTTGAGGATGGTCAAGATGGATTCTCTGTCGGAGGAGCTCTGCAAGGAGAACAGAAGCAGCCCTCTTTAAGAAGTAACACAAGAGGAAGGAGGCGAATAGTCAGGGGCACACGTGGAAATGGCAGGACTGTACTTCCTCCCATGGAGAAGGACTTGCTGCAGCAAAAGGATGCATGGGGGCGGGGGCTCACACAATAAGGGACCCAGAGGCTGTGCCTCCATATGCAGTCTTCAGAGCCCTCTTTGGGGACCTACCTTATAGTCATGTTGGCAAAATGAACACAAGAATAAGCAATGATAATGTACTCATGTACTCAGAAAACAAACATGGGATAGGGGGCTTTGTGGACATGGTTCTGTTATTTCAGTAGGCCTGGATTATTTTTAAATGCAGGCAAGAGGTATGAAACAGAAATCCACTAAGATGTTCTGATGGAAAGACTTCCTGGACCAATAAGAATGAATTCTTATTTTTCTCAGGAGAAGCCCAGGGTTGTACCAAATAATGTTATGGTGATGCTCTAGGGCATCCTGGCAATGCTTGACACTTCACCCCTTGTTATGCAGAACAGAACCCTGAGTTCCCAGACAGGGAGGATTTGCTGAGTCCCCCCAGGTAATCCATATAGCAAAGCCCAAAGTACCACCCAGGCCGGGCTCCTGAAGATCAGGCCTTTGTACTGAAAGGTATTCTGAGTTGGTTGGGGGAACATTATTTAAGGCAAACCCTTATTCTTTCCATTAGTAAGACTCATGCTCTTCATATGCTTCAAAGACCTCAATAATTCCCAATCATATAGGACAAAGTCATAGCTCATTAATGGGATTTCCAAAGCTCTTCATGATCTTGTCCTGCTTATGTCTCTATCTTCATTATTCATTACAACATCCCTGCCCAAAATACGTGCTTCAGCAACATGGAACTACTCAAACTGTGCCACTTCTTGCCACTTCCTGCTCAAACTGTGCCACTTCTTGCCTCTGGAGTTTTGATCATACTATTCCCTCTTCCTGCAGCGCCATTCCCTAACTCTGAGCCAGGTCAATGTCAGCTCATCCTTTAAGTGCATTTTGATACCCATACATGGCCACCTCACCCACAAGCTGGGCTGAAGTCCCTTCTGTCTCTTCATCGCTCCAGGCTCAGTTCTGACAGTGTACTTACCATGGCATTGGTATCTTGCTGCAATCTCACTTTCCACTCCACCCCCACTGGGTATTCAAATCTTTAAAAAAGGAACCAAGTTGCATGCATATTTACTTCTAGCACAGGGCACAAGGGCTGTCAGAGAAGGTGTGCAATAAATATTTGTTGAGTTGAACCAAAAAGAACGCTGCAGGGGCCATGAAGCCCAACACCACACCCCAAGGCAGAAGGGTGCTTATGCTTTCTTCAGTCTCAGTTTTAAGACCTTTCAGGAAGTCAGACCTTAAAAACCCCAGCCAGGGCCACTTACCTCAGTGTAAAATTTAAGGAAACATCACAAAACAGCAGTAGCCAAGATAAATAACATCTTTATTCTATATTTTTACAAATTAAAATTAATGCAAAAAAAAATCATGTTGAAGAAAAGCTTAACTCTCTGGTTGCAATGAGACTTTTGGGAATCCCTAGATACTCAATATCTGCAGTTACCCAGGAAAAAGATTTGGAAAGTTTACTCTGACATCTCCACTGGGAGATGCCTTCTTATGCCCCTCAGCTGCACTGAATGGTAACAGAATTAATTGAATCCCCAAGTCCACACCACCCCCAGCAGCTGGCATGTATACATGTGCCCAATGTTGGTGCATCTCCCTCTTTAGTCTATGAAAAGCTAGAAATTGGAACCAAGGAGCAGCCCAGCAACTGATCTATCATTTTGAAGAATTTGCGTTCCCCCAGCCCTTTGAAAATGGACTCAAAGACAGCTCATGCTAGAAAACAAAATACCTAGGATAGTTTCCCTGGTAGAGACTGACATTTCTGGATCCACCCCCAGCATGCCATTATTGTTTTGTGAAGAAGAGGAGGATAAAAAACTTTTTGTAAGGCTGTGCAAATTTTGGGTAACTTCTAAAATGCTGAATGCGTTTGTTAATTCTGAAACATGAGCAAGGAAAAGGAAAAGAAGAGAGGAAATGGAGAGATGAGAAAAAGAGGAAAGAAAAAAGGTAAAGAGGAAAAATTAATAAGGTAGAAACTGATGAAAGGGAATGAACAAAAGATCCAGGTGGAATTTGCTTTCATTCAGTGATTCATGCATTCACCCCACAAACACTCACTGGGAGTCGTCTACACTCCAGTCACCCCCCTGGGCACAGTGGATATAAATGGATATCAACAATCTTGGTGGTGGAGCTCCAGGCTGGGGGACCAGCTGGCAGGCAGGTAGGACCCGAGATGGGCAGGGCTGTGACAAAGGTCAACATCAATGGTGAGATAGTCCTGGAAAGAAGGATTTAGCCCTGCCAGGCCCATGGTGATGAGTCTGAGACACCAGGTAGGAAGGGGGAAGGTGTTCCTGCTGCTCTGTGGCCCTGTGTGCTCAGAGCACGGCAGAGCCAGGTGAGGCTGGGGGAGCGATCTGCAACCAGTGTGATGGGATCGAATGAGCAGATGGGAAGGGAATCGTGAATTCCTTGCGGGCAAGAACTAGACCTTATTGTCTCTCTATTTCCATCTCATAAGGTGTAATAGATAATCTATATGTTTTATTAAATTAATTTCTCAGGCTCAGGAATGGCCTGCTTTATTACAGTGCCCACTAATGCTCCCTGAGAACAAGCATTATCTTCTGTGCTTCTGCTGTGCCTGCCAGAACTGGGCATATGGTGTGTGTTAAATCACCACCCCTAAATTGCTTTGCCCCGTGGCCAACACTGTACACTGCACACACATCAGCCACTCTTCTGTGGTTGCCTCCAAGAAAACCCCATTTGTTTCAAATACGGGGCAGCAAATACTGATGGAAGATGTGAGTCTCTCTCCCTTGCCTGGGGAACGGGCCATGGTTCATCTCCTCTAAATCTTTCTCCTTTTTGTGTGATTGGTTTAGAGGTGGGTGTAAACCCCAGAGCAGGAAAAGAAAACCTGAGTGGAACTCTCTTGAAGAATCCTGTAAAAATTTTTTCTCCAGAATTGAAAAAAAAAAAAAAAGAATATTCAAAACAAAACAAAACAAAATATGTCCCTGTGTTTGTACATTGTTGTATGAAAACACGACCCTGTGTCCTAGGTGATTGTTAAGCCCCCAAATCAACTCTATGGGACCACCTGCCTGTGGACTTTCAGGTAAGTGAAATAATAAATATCCTCCCTTGTAGAAGTGACTTTTAATTGGGTAGTTTGTTACTGAATTCAGATATGACAGAGGAAAAATAAAATTTTATACTTCCACGCGCCCTCTTCCCAAGCACTTTAGTCTTAATAAATGGGAAAGTAGCTGATTTCACAAACCAACCATAGAGCCAGCCCACATAGCAAACCCTGCTGTCCCGCAGAAAACAAGACACAGAGCAGCACACAGGTGTCGAGTGCATGATGCTCTCACTCAGCTCTGAGCCAGAATGGATCAGCACAATATTGTTTTTCTTTAAGTAAAAATTATGGCTATCAATGGAGAAAAAAAAATGCCCCACCAAATCTCAACTGGTATTAATTTATGCACTGCTATATTTACCAATAAATATTTTACACTATTTAGAAGAATAACACCGAGCCGTTATCTCACCCACAGTAATAATAAACGAGCAATTAAAGAAGGCAGGATGTGATGTGCCTTGATTTTCCTTTAATGATCCTTTTAAATGAATCATTGAGTAATCCCCTGTTGTTTAAGACTTTCCTATAAAAAATGGATCTGCCAGGCTTTCAGGGAGACGCAGGCAGTTGGAAGAACAAACAGTGTCTTTCACAGTCTGTGGGATTTTGAACTGCAATTTTCTCAAATACTGTTTTTGATTTGTCGCTTCTTGCTTTAAAATCTTCTATGTCTCCCTGTTGCCTTCTTCCTCCGGACTCCTCACCGTGCCATGAAAATTACACTGTTCACATCACTCTGCCTTTGGGGGCTCATCCCCAGCCACTCCGCCCACCCCAATGCTGAGCATGCTGGCTACACAGCACCAGTTACTGTGCCCCAGGAGCATTCTGGGCACCTGTGCCTTCAAGGCTTTGCTCTTGCTGACGCATGCTTGAGTACCATTGCTCCTCCTTCTCATAGTCTATTTCAATTCCCACCTCCGGTCTCCTTTCCATATGGTTTTTCCAGCTAACCCACCTTCTTCGTACTTGTCACCCACAATTGCCATATATATTTGCATAGGTTGGGCACTGCAGAACTCCAGGGGGTGCCATTCTCTAGGAGTATGACATGACTGATGGCCCCTCACATAAAGCAATGTGGTGGCCTGATCTCTCTGAGGACAAAATTATTTGTTCTACATTTGTTTTCCAACAATACTTTGTACATACCTTTTATTCAAATTCTTACTATAATAGATACTCATAATTTTCTTACCTCCCTGATCTAGCTGTCTATTGTGGTATAACAAACCACCCCAAAACTTAATGGCTTGGGACAAGAGCCTTTTTAATGATATCTCTTGATTTTGTGAGCAAGGAATTTGGGCAGGGCTTGGCTGGGAGATTCTTCTGCTTTCCGTAGGGTCACCTAAGGTCATTGAGTGGCACTGAGCTGGAGGGCCTAGGATGGCTTCACTCACATGTCTGGCACCTTGGCAGGGATGGCTGAAGCTCTGGGCTCACCTAGGACTGTTGACCAGAATGCCCACGTATCGCCTTTTCAGCAGCACAATTTTAAGGTACTTGGACTTCTCACGTGGTGGCTGGCTTCCCCAAAATGAACAAGCACTCCAAGAGACCTGAATGGAAGTTCCAAAAACTTCTTTTGACTTAGCCACAGAAGGACAAATGTCATTTCTGCTGCATTCTATTCATCAATCAGGTCACTGATGCTAGCCCAGATTCCAAAGAATTTGCAGCCACTTTTAATCTTCCATGCTCCCCTTACACTGTGAGCTCTTCCAGAACAAGA